CTTAGCGCCATTTTGAAAAATATCGAGCCAGGGATCTAGGAAGTCCAAAGCTGGCTCTTCTCAGTCAAGCACCGCAGATTCAAGGTGTCACCAGGCTTTAGTCATTGATTTGTATCCGTTTTCTTGAGTCCGTCATCGACAGATGATCTTCATATTTACAGCCCCAGAAGTTTAATGCCCCTCTATTCTGTCCATTCGTCAGAGTGATTTTGTACAGGTGTAAGCAGAATCTTGTGATTTCGTATTTTACATTTGATTCTTGTCACGAGCTGGTCTAACGTCTTCAGGCTGATCCATAAAAAGGCACATTTGTATCCTTATTATATCTCTAAAGTGCCGACCCAGTGATCTAGAAAGTCATAAGCTTACTCTTCCCACTTAAAAACCGTTTATTCAAGATACCGCAAGGCTTTGGCGATTGACTTAGTAACCCGTTTTTTGAAAGTCCTACACAGGTGACGTTCTTAGTTACGGACATCTATTTTATCCGTTTGTCTGAGTTACTTTTTATTCTGGTGTAACACAAGAATCTATTGGACATCAAAACATGCCACTTGTGTTGCTCTGATCCATGGAAAGTTACGTTTGGGTTGTGACTCTAGGGATATGTCTGGTTAGGTTTAGGTTTTAGGGATTGTTTTACAAAGTTTAGGGTTTTGGGCTNAAGAAGTATCCAGGCCAATCCACGAATCCATCAGCATTCTGCTAAACTCGCTTAGCGCCATTTTGAAAAATATCGAGCCAGGGATCTAGGAAGTCCAAAGCTGGCTCTTCTCAGTCAAGCACCGCAGATTCAAGGTGTCACCAGGCTTTAGTCATTGATTTGTATCCGTTTTCTTGAGTCCGTCATCGACAGATGATCTTCATATTTACAGCCCCAGAAGTTTAATGCCCCTCTATTCTGTCCATTCGTCAGAGTGATTTTGTACAGGTGTAAGCAGAATCTTGTGATTTCGTATTTTACATTTGATTCTTGTCACGAGCTGGTCTAACGTCTTCAGGCTGATCCATAAAAAGGCACATTTGTATCCTTATTATATCTCTTAAGTGTCGACCCAGTGATCTAGAAAGTCATAAGCTTACTCTTCCCACTTAAAAACCGTTTATTCAAGATACCGGAAGGCTTTGGCAATTGACTTAGTATCCCGTTTTTTGAAAGTCCTACACAGGTGACGTTCTTAGTTACGGACATCTATTTTGTCCGTTTGTCTGAGTTACGTTTTATTCTGGTGTAACACAAGAATCTATTGGACGTCAAAACATGCCACTTGTGTTGCTCTGATCCATGGAAAGTTACGTTTGGGTTCTGACTCTAGGGATATGTCTGGTTAGGTTTAGGTTTTAGGGATTGTTTTACAAAGTTTAGGGTTTTGGGCTTGTGTTGCAAACCCTGATCACGTTTCAGACGATATCTCTCCATTTGTCTTCTCTGAACAATAGGCTACTTGCCTTAGTTTCTACAGAACACGGGCTAAGGTTTCCGTGAAGGCAGACGGGGTGACAAAGGTTACGCGTTTGGCTACACACTTCAGCGGACAAGTGAAAATGTAAATGTAAATGAAATGTAAATGTAATTTGTTTACCCACGGAGCACCAAGGAGTTCACAAGAACTCGTTCAGAAATGTCCGT